CCACAAAATGTTGTAATAAGTAGCTAGTAGTTTAAGTAAAATGTATAAATAGGTAATAGTACTTATAATTATATAATATTAATAATACAGCAATATATATTATTAAAAATATTATTGATATGTATAAAAGTATAATAATAGATAAAAATTAAATTTTATAACATGAATAATAATATATAATGACTATATAAGAATTTTAGTATAATATTATAACATATTATGATAAATTGTTTTTTACTTTTCCTAAAAAATTGGTATTTTACATAACGCCTAGGTATTTTATAAAATACCTGAATTACCCATATTGCTGGTTATATATATAGATATACTTAATTGAGTATAAATAAAATTTTAAAAAAAACCTGTGACTAATTTTATTTCAAATATCGGGTACCTATAGAGTATTGAGTTCCTTAATGTACTTAAAATGTAAGTATCGAGTATTTAAAGTATCTCGATACTCCAAATTCAAGTATTTAGTATCTAGTAACGCGATAGTGGTTTTTTAGTACCTATCTTTCTCATCCCTGTCTTTTATAGTAGAATACAACATTATGTTAGTTTTTGAAGAGTGTGCTGTAAATTGGAAAGATGGACCAATAATTAAACATTTACCTAGTGTATTGTCTTTAGAATCATGTTCAGTTTGTTAAAAAGTATGCAGACAAATTATGTAAGTATCTAATTTGTTAAATATGATTGTATTCGTCACTTTAATATTAATATTATTTAGGTATTAACTATTAGGTGCTTTTACAGTTTTACCGTGGTGGTACGAAGTTTGGAAAAAAAAAGAAGAGGATGTTGAATAATTATTTGTATCAATTTGTTCATGTTGAAAATGTCTTCAAGGGCTTGCAGTTTGCTGATAGCGTTTCAATAATAAATAGTAAATATAAGTGAAAATACTATTTACTCATCCGCTATAAAATGAATAATTATTATTGAGGTAATTTATAAACTCTATATTGTTTATTTATAAATACATAGGTATGCGTTTACTAGTTGAATAATGTTTAACAGAAGCTGCACTTAAAATTCATTGTATTTTTCATTATTTATTAAACAGGATACATCTATTACTTTCAGTGTTGATATTTTACATAAAAATCTTAAAATTATCTATTTATCTATCTGAGATGAGAACTTTACTCATCTACTGTAATTGATCTAGATATTTTTATGGTGTAAAAATTATTTTAATTAATTTTAATATTATTATATTTATGTTTCTGGTAATATTTACTATTTTCGTTCATGCCGTCGCAGTAAGTCATCGACGACGATCGGAAGATAACACTTTCTATTATCATTTATCATATATCTATATATATATATATAAATGGAGCCTAAAATGTATAACAATTCATCAATTAAGAACGGCTGGGCCGATTTAGCTCAATTTTTTTCAATTGTTCGTCATTGCCAGGAAGAGGTTTTTACGAAAAAATTTTGGAAAAACCGTTTTTTAAACATTTTTTTGATGATTTATTTTTTGAGTTCCCGAATGTTTTTTTGAATTGAAAAAGCTAAAACTTTAGCCTATAAAATTTTCCATATTACATAATTAATCGTTAAAATGGAGCCCCCGGCCAACACCAAAAACAACATGGACAAATATGTAGTATATTGAATATTAGGTATTAATATATTATGTTTCACTATATAAAGTAAAGTTTAAATTTTGTAAAGTGATAATTTTCGTATTGTTTTTATTCCGTTCGATTTTATTCACAGTCGCAATAATCTCTTTACATAGACACGGGATTAGCTAGTTATATATATTATTAGTAACAGGTAGAGGTAGTTAATAGTTATTACTTATTACCAGGGCTCGTAAGTTCATGCATCCGCATGTTTTTTCTGCTACACCGAAAAACATGCTAACTGAGATACAAATCCGTTTCATAACAGTAGTAATAATAATATAAAGTTTAATAGTGCATGTTTTTGCATGTTTTGGGTGTTAGGGCATATTTGGCATATAGTCGATTTTTTAGAGTTGATAGCGCATATTATTTCATAAAAAAATTTTTTAGACAAATATTTGAAAAGTTTCTTGTTTTTTATTTACTTTTCCGTTTACAAAATGAGAGTATTTTTAATTATTTTTATTATCCTGTGACTACCTATAGTATCCTAGCTATCCATATTATGAACTTCACAAGTATTCATTTTTTTTTTATTTCACTAATTTTGGTTAATAAATGTATACAAATTAAAATTAATAAAACACTTTTAAATTAATGGATATATTCTTATTATTTTAAAATTTGCCCATGGTTGTTTTACATAATGCATATTTTTAGTGCATAATTTAAAAATGTTAGGGCTTATAAATGCAAATTTTCAAACTTTTTAGTGCATATTTTAATGCATATTTTGCTAATTTTGAGGGCATGAATGCATGCTTATTTATACATTTTTTAGTGCATGAACTTACGAGCCCTGCTTATTACCTACCTAGTATATACTATTATTAATTATTATACTTTTTAGTCATTATAGTTAATAGTCAGAACTATATAGCCGCATTTGTTATTCCAAATGGAGTGTGTAATTAAAATAAATGAAATTATGTCAGATCGAAATATGAAAAGTCTGAACTTCGTAGAAATTTTTAAATAGGTACCTAGTTAAAAAAAATTATTTCGTTGAAAATAAATCTCTGGATTTAGTGGATTTAGTGGACAGATTTCTGTGGTTTAAGTACAGCCTATGCGGAATATTTTTTAATGTGTTATTCGTCTGATCGTATTTTAAAGTTCTATAATTGTATATTAGACCTCTTGTGACCAGCTAACGGGTGACTCCTATAATATTATCGTATTATAGTCCAGCAGCCACCAATAAAAATCACCAGATCATCTGTCTGTTCTTCTCAGCTCTCGACATTGTAGTCCACAGTATTGAAAACCTAGTAGGTAGTTGTAGGTGTCTACTACCTAAGTATTTTGTTTTACTTTGAGCAATGAATGTTACAATTCAAAAGATAAAAACTATAAAATGTACCTGATTTATTTTGTGACACTTTTCCAGTCTTGGATTAATTTAAATTTTACTTGGTTTAAATGGAGTATTAATTCAATTCAGTAATAAATAAATTAAATTTTTTAAATGTACCTGATTTTTTCATTCTTAATTAAAAGAACAATTTTTAAATTTAAGAAGCAACATTAAAATCGAAACACATTTCAAACACTTTAAACAAATTCAAAATGCTGTTTACATGATGAGCCTGATAAGTGATAACACAGCTGATGCATTTAATGTATGATATTTTGGCAATATTTACACACATTGAATTTGATGTAACATTATTATGTCCGTATAGACCATGGGTTTAAATTACAGATAATTTTAAACTGGTTCATTCGAAAATTTGTAAAGGAGAAGTCACAATAGGGACAAAAGGGTAAAATTAAAAATATAATAGTAGTTAAATTATTTTATTTGTACTTTGGTAAAAAATTTTATTTAAAAAAATCTACTTGTTTTTTCGAAAATGTTTTATTTTAATATTCTCCAATTTTTTCATATATTCTGGAACTCTGAATAACAAAACATTTTTACTGACATTTGATTTTGTGGAGACAGTTATGTAGAGGTTTCAAGGTAATATGTTTTGTTAATAAATGGACATAATAAATAAATAAGTTGCTTCATTTTAAAAACCAGATACTTCAGAATTTCAATGTTTCAATAAAAAATATAACATAATATATTATTATATCTATTAAATTTTCATAGTCTGAATTGAATTCAAGAGATGACTGTGATCCAGTGAACATGCTTTTAGTTTTATTATAGCAGATAGTGGACTGTATCAACCAAAAAACTACAAATTTCATAAGGATAGACAATTTATTTTTCTGTTGTCAACCACTAAAAAAGGAATACCTATCCGTCACCATAATGAATCCATTGATTCAACAAACATATGCTAGATATAACAATGTTTTAAAATAATATTTTATTACAAAAAAAGAAAAAACATAATAATTATACATAAATAAACAGTGTACCTACTACACTTTACACAAATAATTTCAATAATAATTCAAATAACGCATTGAAAAACATGACAGTTCTTTAACAAAACACAATTGTAATTTTTTTTGTAAACTGTTTTCATTGTATAAATAAAACTACTTTTATTACCATTGCAATTAAATTATTTATTAAAAAAATTAAGGGCATTGTGTCCAATTACAGCATGTATTTATAAAATTAAGTACTCAATAAGAGAAAAACTCCTAAAAAAAAAAAAATAATAATACAAATTAAAATAAAACTATATAATATTATAATATGAAACATTTTTATGAATATAAAAAATATAAAAATACAAATACCATACATATATGCTTAATAATAATAAAGTTGGTAGTAAATTATGATTTCAATTTAATTTTTGTTTAGTGCTGATTACTATTGTTTCAAAATTAAAATATTAAGAAAACCTCCAGAGATGCATAGTCAGATACGGGGGGCTTAGTCTCTCTAGAAATTTCAATAGCACCCAAAATTAAAACTATTCAAAAAGATTATTGGATTATTATAGACCCCTAAAAATTCAACCAAGTGTCCGCCATTGCAGAGATGCCATACAGAATATAATCATTGCCTTTACATTTTATAATAAGTCAGTTATTAAAAAAGGGATAGGTAGGTGCCAAGACGTTTAGGAATGTCACTTTAATGTGGGTACCAATGTGTTAATTTTAATTCAATGATAAATCAACGATTCTGACAGAAGACGGCCATCAGCCTGTATTACAAAGTACATTATATTATGATTTATTAATATCGCTGTTATAACATTTGAAAATGTCAATGTGTGTTTAAAAAATAATAAAATATGAAAAAAGTTTTAGTTAATAACTAGGGATAATTTATTTTTATTACAACAAAATAACAAAAATCGTTATTCTTTGTTTAAATATCCAATATTGAACCATTTTGAATAAAAACCATGTTTACATGTTTTTTAAATTTTTTTTTTTTAAAAGTCCGTCGTTTTTTGTCATTTCGACATAATTATTAAGTTTGGAGCCCTAATTCATAATACATACCATTATGTAAAACCAGAATTAACTTGATTCATAAATATGGTACATACAAGTTATATACTGGTTATATTATACTGATATATCTTGATATTATCAATTATTTTAATTTTTTAAAATTATATCAGAATAAGCATCAAGCAACTTTTGGAATAATATAAACGATACAAGAATCAATAATATTATGATAAATTACAAATTACATAAAAACAAGATGTAACAAAAAAAATTGAAATTACTTATTAACCTAACATTATAATTAGTTGAGCAGAGAATAACCTATATTTAAAATTATATTATGAGATGTAGAAGTTGGCCAAAGTATGAAAAAATTATACATTGCTATAAGCTATCAACATCATCCTGATCATCGAGCATCCTGTAATATTAGTATTATAGAATTTTGTTATAGAAAGTGGTTAGCAAATTTGTACATTTATATTTATTTGATAATAACTGACTGTTTGCAAACCTCTTCACTGTACGCCAACAATGAAATTTAAACATCTCTATGATCATTCTTGACTGTCTGTAATGGACTATTTGACAATACGAGTTCATTTAGACGATTAAACTGAATGTTCAGGGATTCAATTCGGTCACGCCAAGATTCTAACAATTCATCTGTGTTTTGGACTGTGTACAAAAATATCATTATAACAAATTATAGAAAATAAAATAGCACCAAAATGAGACTTACGTTCAAATGATATAAAACCATCTCTCTGATTAATTGATCCTTCTATGCGTCCTTCGGATATCATTCTTCTTGCAATTAATTCGGCTTTATATGGTTCCAATTCTAATAGGCAGCCAAGTGACTCAATTTTTATATTCTTATAAAGTTTCTTGATTGCTTGAATATTATGTTCTGCTATAGCTTCAACCAATATGGATGTGTCTACCAATTAATGTTTAAATATTATAAAAATGCATTTAATGTGGTATTGTAAAAAATTACCATAATTTATTTTAACCTTCTGATGTGGCAATAACAATGTTTCTATTTCATCAATTTCTTGAGGTTTAATAATACGAACGTCACGCAGGTTTTCAAGAATTGATGATTTTATAAAGACTTCACATCTTTGATCACAGCTCAATGAATTCAACAAAAGAGTTCGATCAACACCTACCACAAAGATCATAGATAAAAAATTAGGAGGACATTAACTGGTTTAGGGACATATGTTATAATACAGGCTATTATAATACAGAATGTTATAATACAATTATTAAAATATTAATGTTTAAAGACAAGAGCTTGTGCTAAAGAGCAGTTGTTAACATCTTAATGTGAATTGAATTTAAAACAACTTCATTACAATTTTGTCAACTTTTATTGTAAGTATCTAACTAATTGTATATTTTAACTGTGAATATTTAAATCACTACCAACTTAAAACTATCAATGCACTCTTTCACTTTCAACATTCAATAATTATTGTTACGTGTATTTGGATGTATTTGTTCATGGATACCAGAAGACTGTAAAAGAACAGATCAGTTTGTTAAAGATAAGATTGTTAGATAACTCTAATGAAATCTATAAATGTATTATAAAATTAAATAAAAAAAATTAATTTATAGGGAGTAAATTTTGAATTAAATTGATAACATCTAATGAGACAAATTAAGAGAGGTTTTTAATACTACGAAAATTGGGTCAAACCGGCATACAACAGAGAGCATAAATTATGCAAAATAGGCCACATATATTTCGGCAAAGGGTGAACCTAACCTTATTGAAAAAAAATTATACTTTTTAGATAAGATATGTCCAACTTGCAATGTTCAATAAACTAAATACCTATATAATATGTTTACAAAATGCAAAACTACTCAAGATACAAGTCAACAGTTATTCATCATAAACACCTACATGAATCAATGAGACCTGATAAGAACATACTCAAATAATCATACTTTTTATAAAAAAATAAAATGTTAGCACTAACCTATGGGAAAACCAGTTAGACTATCTTTCTAAGGAATGTTGGCAACCAATAACACAGTTAGTTTTAGGTATTACTAATTAACACATTTTATACTATGATATATGATATTATATGGATTAACATATTATGACTCGAACCAGATTCAATCAACAATATCTTTTATATCTTACCAGGAAATGATAATATAGTACAGACAATTGTATTTTTCAATGCCGTCATACTTTCTACTTGTGACAATGAACTGATAGACAATTCACGATACTCATGTGCAGCCTCAATAAATTTCAAACGGAAATCCAACATTCGTGCATTACAAGCTCTAAAACTTAATTCAAGATCTTTATTTGATGTTAAACACTGAAAAATAATATTTAAAATTATTTATTATTTATGACATATGTATTTGCATTTCACTAATATAGCTTTTTCTACATAACTTATAATTGAACTAGTATAGCACTCAGTCTATTGATATAACAATAATATTACGAGTATGTTTGATATAGACGCTTATTTATGTTCAGTTATTGTGTATGCTTTGAACCGTTTGTTTACACATCAGCGCTCACAGGTAGGCCTCTAGATGAATTTGAAAATTGATGAACTGAGCGTAGCGGCAGCATCCCTACACTGTTTATTAGTTTTGGTTTAATTTACACATTTTTCTTATGAAGTCCAACCATGTACTTGATTGGAGTAAAAAATAATATATAACAAATAAAAATTATTTTAAGATGAAAGTTTGAAACTAGTTGTGAAATGGTTTACGGTTATTACATTATATTTTATCATTTCAAATTTGAGCATTCGTTTTGAAAAATAGCACTCATGCTAAAACTACATTACCATGATGGAATAAATGGCCATAAGCATCAACTCCTGACGTAACATCTATTTTCTGTTACGTCACAGTTGTAGACTGAGCTTTTCATTTTCAATGCACTAAGGCACACAACACAGCCGCTCTTAAAGCATTCAAAGCGTCCATGTCTTACGCACAATACAAATTATCATGAGATAATAATTAAATTAAATTCATTATGCTATATTATATTTCCATTATCATGATCTTAATATATAGTTTTAACTATTATCCTTAAAACGTAGTTCCATAACTTAAGTATGAATCAGACAAAATATCATTTTTATAAAAAAAAATGAATTAGTTTAGCCTACAGTTGTACCATTCTATTATAGAAATGTAGACCGAAAATGGGTGTTAAACATTAATTGTACTTTAATTGAGTATAAACCATACTTGCAATACTGAAGCTTTTTTGACGTAAGGCTCTGCTAGCAATGGATCGTCTTCCATGTAAAGACATGCAATTTTTATGAATAGTTCCAATTCATAATCAACAGAAAATCTTTAAAAACATTTTAAACTTGTAGTATAACAATAAAATAACTGTTATTATATAGTTATTTAGTACTATGATAAATCAATAAGAACAAATTTTTTCCTCACCTGTAATAAGATTCTGCTGGGATACTGACCAGCCAACTAGCTGCTTCCTTCCAATTTCCCTCTTTCTCATAAATACGTGATAAATGATGACAAACAATGGACAAATGATATTCAAAATGTACCTCCCTCGGTTGCATCTAAAATAAAACCAAATGATAAATAATTTTGTTTGTAACATAAATGTATCTGCAGTATAGCAGACAGCAGTGTTATCTTTACTTCTTCCTGCATGCAATGAGCCAATAGTTTCGACTGTGAATCTGGAATCCAAGGTAAGATTCGCATACAGAAATCAGAAAACATTTGTCTGGATACAAACAAGTTGACGTTATCCTGAGCAACTGCAATTGAATGCATTAATTAATTAAATAGTGGTGTTGCTAAAGTAAAAAGTAAATACATTGATTGGATAGGCTTGGACGTTAGGTTAGATATCTGTTAATACATACCTACTAATATGAAGAGATTATAATATACAAATAACTTACGGAATTTGATGACTTCTTTCAATATTTCCACCAAATTTGTCAAAAATGTTGACATTAAGTTGTTCAACAGAATTCTACACCTGAAACGGTCAATCAAAAATGTTATAATGATTATTATTATTATCGACATTGGTCGGGGTATATCCGCAGAGGAGACGATTTCAATGAGCAATAATTTTTCCCGATACCTACGTAATAAAAAATATTATCTCACTTGGCAACTCGTCGAATATCAGACGAACTCGATTCGACGATGCGATTCAACTCGTTGCGGACTTCGTCGACGGAGATGGTCATGATTTATCCAACCACGAGCAAGCAGGTTCAATAATGGACGAGAACGCGAGAAATGATTTATAAATTATATCAGAATAAGATAATATGAGATATGGACAACGAGTACGATTTTACGCGGCAGCCCGTGACAATTTGTTGTGACGTGTCGTGGGCGGGGTTGACTGTGAAGTGAGGGACGGGAGGCACTAGTGTGTATTTTATGTTTTTGGCGGAAAAAACATACTGCAACGGCGACGCCTGGAATAGAAACTCGCGTACTGTGAACGGCAGGTGATAAGGACAAGACGTGAAATCGACTAGAAATTAAATAAATTTAACGAACCGGTATGTTCAAAATTACACAAACGGGTAGAACGGGATTGGCGATTGTCGGTAAATATTATGGTAGCCGTGTAGTTGCGAGTTATGCTACCGGCAACAGGAAATCGGGGTTTCAACACCCAACCCAACCTCCTATAGACGAACGACTGACCTGTACGGGCTGTACCAGTGCACTACGATAAACATCTTACATTATTTTAATAATATTATAATGTAGTAAAATGATGACGTTATTTTATCATGGTTCTAACCGATACGCCAGTCTCTACGCAGCTGTTAAACCACAGTATAATATTATAATGTAATATTTTATGTGTAATACTGTGGTTACATTTGTGATAATATTAAACTTAACTACGGGTGAGTCCAACCTGTCAAAGGCCAAGGCCCGGCCGATCCGTGCGCGCCGAGTGCTTATCTGGATTCTGGGTACACCACGGACCACCGACGACGTCCAGCTGGTTCGATCCTTCTGTAGCTCCCGGATCACGTTCTGTCTTTCAATAGATATATTATTATATAAATGCATAACATTTATTTGCAATATTAGGGCTGTGAATTTATAGAAAAATATAATATTATTCTAGATTAGGTAAAACGCAGTTTAGTTAGCCAAAAGGTCTTACTGGTAATATTCAATTCAATTTTGAAACCTTTATTTTACTATTTACGCATATTTTGAAATTTTTTATTCATTGGATAATTTTATTTCAAAGTAATAATAAATGCCAAACATATAAATATTATAGTATAGACCAGCGTTTCTTAAACTTTTTTATCCGTGGAACCCTTTTTTATGTGCACTTTCACTGTGGACCCCCAACTTTTTTTAGCTTTTTTTTATTGAGCTCTTAACAATAAATTATTACAGCTCGACAATTAGAACCACTACATTGTTTCAATACTTTCAATGCGTCATTTTATGTAAGGAATGTTTGCAATAAAAGTTATAATTATGTGTCAAAATTTAAAATTTTGAATAAAAAACCACAAGTTATAATTTTGGGGAACCCTGAAGTGACCTCCGCGAAACCCTGGGGTTCCACGGAACACAGTTTAAGAAACGCTGGTATAGACTATAGATGCTACGTGAAACAACTAGGTAATGAAATAATACATAATTAATCATAATATGGAATATTTACAGTTATAATATAATTTGTTACATAAAACATGTGGTGAATCTCTTTTGATTCTATCTACTTCTGTCATCTGATAGGTACAGGTAAATTTACATTAAAAATATTTTTATATACCTATTATTTATAATTTTAGATTCTGATCGGAGTAATAAATGTATTGATTTTACAATGATGTGTGTTTTGGTAGTACACGATTTATAATAGAATAAAAGTTTTTCACATTGGGGGTGGTTTCTTTTAGAAAATTATTTGATCTAGTTGGTACTAAGTCAAAAAAGAAAATTACCAGTATTTTTATAATTATCGGGTTAATTAGAAACAAAGTTAAGGAAAAATAGAGTTCTGACACAAAATCAGTTAAAGAAAAATTAATTAGTTTTTTGTACTTAACCTAAACAGAATAGCCGCTTTAGATCCTTGAAATTTTCATGTTTATACCTATTTACGTTTTCTATGGACATTTTCAAAATAATTTGACACTTATCGAGTTATATAATATAGACATTTGACATTTGATATAAAACAAGTGTCGATAAAATATTTTTCTCTGTTTCAAAAAACTTTATCTGAAAAATTTGATAGAAAGTTCGTGATAAATGGTTCATGCAGCTATTAAAAAATATTGAAAATACAAAATGCAATATTTTTTGTGAACGTTTAAAGTTCGAATTTCACAAATTATTTTCTAGTTAAAAGTTCATTACTATATTATTATTTATAGGTACTATAGATTTGAAAATATAATACAATTATTCTCCTATAAGTTATAACTCATTGTTACAATATCAGTTTAAAAATATAAAAAATACATAGTCAAGATTTTTTTTTATAAACTTTTAAAGATCAAATTTTTACAAAATTAGACAAATTCATGAAAGTTGAAAATTATTTCATAGTTGAAAATTTATAAAACCTTCAATTTTTATATTTAATGATTGAAATTGTAATACAAAAATTCTCAAAGCAGTCAGTTAATAAATGTATAACCAAATAATCAAAACAATATAATATACGCACATTTTTTTTTTGTAGATATTTTAATTTAAAATGTTGATAAAACTAGGAATTTAGAATATTGAAAATGAAACGTTGTTATTTTTTAGTGCGAATGGTAGTACATTTTACTAAATTTAACTACTTTAACATCCAAGTCCTACCTCATTATACATAAGCAAAATTATAATTATACATTAGTTAAGAATGCTTTACTAAAAATTAATTTTAAAAATAAACCACTCTCATAATGCTTTAAAGTTTAAAATGCGATAAATTAAGTATTTACAATTAAAAAAACAAGACACTTATAAGTTTATATAACTGTGTCCAAAATGTTATTAAAAAAAAAAATAAAAACATATTGCATACGAGTCTGCAATGAAGTACCAGTGAGTACCACATTTTATGTCTTTGCTGTCCTTGCTATCATATGTAGGTATAGCACATAACTAGATAATATTTGTAGAGTAATAATTGATAAAAAATAAAGACACGACTCCTATTGGTATTCAATTTTTTTTTTATTTTATTATTATTTTATATTTTATTTATAAATTTTTCATTTTCAGTCCACGATTCGTTTTATTTTTTGTTTCATGGCAAATTTTTTTCGTAGCGGTTTCGTAACGTTTTTTTATTCTGTGATCCAAAGCAAAAACATTTTGCTGAAGGTAACGCATTTCGGGGACACTTTTTAGAGACGGTTTTTTATTTTAATGTGCCAAAGTAAAGACATAAAATGTATCTATTAATAACGTACTCGCGACAAAGTTTGACAATTTTTTTTGATATTTTCGAAAAAGATTTCATTTCTAATTCCACCAATTTTTCCTGCTATATGCCTGTATTATATGATCATTCTGTGAAGTGTGAATTAATTGTGAAACAATTATGTATCAAAGTAAAATTATTTTAATATTTACTTAAATTTAACACACTATGTTGAATACAATCTTCAAAGTCCACATATGACCATATACATACCTAGTCAAAAGTCAATACATAATAGATATATTAAACTTTTTTACTTTAATGTTATAATATGATTTATTATTTATTACTCATTAGGGAATTATTATTATTTTTAAAAAAACTAAAGAAAAAATTTCCAGTGCGGCTATAATAATATACGCTACAGTGACTATTTTTTTAATCGAATAATTAGGTTATTATTATATTTTTAATATTAAATATTGTCATAATAAAAAAATTATATTGCATAAAAAGATCGATAAATGTTGTTTAATCATACAATGGCAAGTTATCTTTAAACTGTACAGTGTACTTATTTGAAGTAAGGTGCCCATTTCATCCATACAATTTTTTAATACTGAAAATAAAAAAATAAAAATCTGGTATACATTTTTCTCTGAAAAATTCAAAGTACATTTTCAAAATATTTTTTCGCTTATGAAGTATATTTTATAAATAAACTTGATCCAGTTGTAAAAACATTTAATTCAAAACCTGTAAGCTTGTTTTAAACATTTTACTAGCATTTCTAAACGGGTTATTGTAAAAATCAATTTTTTTAAAAATGTACTTATAGGTATCACTTTGAAAATAATGAGTTACTTCAAAAAATAAGGACGTTTTAAAATATCATAAAAAATAAAACACTTGACATAGATAAATGTTTTTCTAGTAAAAAGTTGTCAAAAAAACCAAACTTAAAAATTGGCTACCTTAAAGTTTAAAAAAAAAACATTTTTATAAGATTTTGAATTTTTTTTCTGTATTAAAAAATAAGAATAAAAAGTATTGATTAGAACAAAATGTAATTAATTTTTCATGTTTCCTTGTTAAAACCTGTACAGTATAATATGATCATTTTTTTAGCAATGAATACACCATAAAATATTGATAAATATTTACCACCCATTTAAAGGAATAAAAAAAAATTACCACCTGCAGTACGATACACTTGCGCCCAAGATTATTATTTATGCACTATCACAGACTTTTTATTATATTTTAATTTTAAAGCCAGTTATGAGTATTACATGTACTCGTGACTTGCTTTGAAATTAATGTGTAATAAAAATTAAAAAGTCTTTGATATTGCCTGGATCATAATCTCACATTTAAATTTTAAAAGAAGTCAATTCAATTTTTAAATAATTTCATAACATAATATGACTTTAAATTGCCATTTAATAAAAAAAAACTGATACTAAGTAAAATGGATATATACAGTATACACTGTTCATTATGATGAAAATTCAATAAAACTGTTCATTATAATTTATTAAATTCGAAAGAACGACGTCTGCACTCTTTATATGATTCACATAATCACATACTAATAAAACAATTAGATAAACTTTTTTAAACTGAGTTAAGTTAATGTATTATTGTCCTATTAACTTTTAAATTATAATATATGTTTTGTTAGCTAACTATTCACTTCCAACTTTTCGATTTTGTTTTCTTTCTAGAAGATGTTATACTTGCATGTGCTGTCTTCGTCTTACAAGTGCATAACATATTACATTTTACGCTCAGTAGATTACGTTTAGCTTCGTTGGTTTGAAAATTAAAATGAATAATTGACCTCTCATAAAATTTAAAGGTAAAATTATTTTCTAGGGCATCTCATGGGCTTTTCATTATGTTTTAATTTAAAAGCGAGTTATGAATATTTTAAGATGTAC